CGAGGAGGGGGGCTTCCCACAGAGCCTGCACACCCACCAGGACACCCAGGTAGGAGGCACCTGGGAAGCTGTGGGCCAGGCAGGCCCCAGAGCTTCATTGTCCCTGGCGCAACTGGGCCCCCAATCAGGTGAAGAGAAGGGGCCGGGAGGCAGAGTGATGGCATCTCCACAAGGGACCCTTTAGGCCATGGGCCTCGGGAGCGGAGCATCTCCCACTCCCTGCCCTGCCCAGAGCCCCAGGGAAGAAACCAGTTCCGCCAGGACTAACCTGGGATGAACTCAGTGGTGGCAATGGGGAGGGTATTCTAGGGGTCCTTGGCAGGGAGAGCTAACCTTGTCTGTGCTCAGGGTCAGAAGAGCCGCCCCAAATGTCATGTTTAATGAAGACGATACCTGCAGCATGAGGTCATTGGGGTCAGCTGGGGAAAGAAAAGAGGCCAGTGTCTCAGGAGCAGAAGGGCACGTGCAGAGGTGGGGAGGCCCGGGAGAATGTGGCCTTCCAGCAGAGGTGGACATGTGGCAGCCTGTCCCGCTAGGAGCCGGGAAACAGGAGGAGCCCGGTCCTCAAGTTCAGGCTGGGCAGCGGCATGGTTCAGTCCTCCCGTCCGGAAGACCCCTCAGGCTACCTTGTGGAGGCCTGCCTCCTGCTCTGAGAACCAAATGCCTGTGACCCTTCCTTGTCCAGCTCCTCACTGGCCACATGACCCCCATGGGACCCAAAGTTGTGACTCTCCGCGCAAGCGAAGGGAATGTCTCCTCACCAATTTATGTTGGTTCAACGAAAATGTGTTGGGGTCCCTCTGTCCCAGGCCCTGTGCTGGGCCCAGCTTTGGGGACACAGCGGGAGGCAGGGGTGGACCCAGGCCTTGCCTTGGAAGAATGCACTCCCTAGCTGGGGAGAAAAGATGTGCAGAAAGTAACCTGAGGAGAGGCTGGGGGCGCGGCGGGGGGGCGGTGAGAGCGTCCCAAGAGGCGCAGGCGGAGGCCGAAAGGAGGGGGCGAGCCCAGCCAGCCGCTCACACCATGTGGAGCTCAAGCCCAAGTCCACCTATGGGGAGGCCACGCCAAAATCTCAGCTGGAACACAGGCAAGCCTCAGGATCCCATGCAAGGGAGAGAGCGCGACAGCGCGGGGACCAGTGTGTCAGTCCCCGCGCTGCCGCGCAGTGCATGTGATTTCAAGCAATAGCTCAGCGTCCTCATCTGTACGCGGCGCAATCTTCTCGGGTTGGAATGAGCATGGGGTTCATGAAATACTTTGACGTGCCTGCAGTACAACAGGGAGGGGAGGCAGCAAGGGACGAGGCAGGGACTGGGGGAGGGCTGACGTGTACCTGCAGGTGCCCCGCAGAGTCTGCATAAAGGGGGGGGCTCCCTCCCCTCTCTCTTCCCAGCTCTGACTCCAGCCTCCCTAACCCTTGCCTTGGCGCCCAGGGCTGCAGGGACCATGCTCAGGGCTGCTGGTCGGGATAGGGCCACGGGGCTGTCTTCACCCCTCCCTCTCTCCTCTCTCCAGGGCACCTCCCACCAGTGGCCAGTAATGATCCTGTCTTTCCGAGAATTCACCTACCACTTCCGGGTGGCACTGCTGGTGAGTACAGGCATGCCCTCTGCCCCCAGACGTCCGGGCTCCTGCATCTCAAGTGTGGGGCTCTGGGAAAGGACATGAGGATTCCCGGAGCACATGGCAAGACTTGGGGCACGGTCACAGGTGATATGGCGGGGGGCAGGGGAGCGCTTCTTGCCCCGCACCCCCAGAGCCACCTCACCTGTTCCTGCTGCCCTCTCACCCAGGGTCAGGCCAACTGCAGCGTGGAGGCCCCGGTCCGGCCCGCCACAGACTACTACTTCCATTTCTACCGCCTGTGTGATTGAGCTGCCTTCCCCGAGGCGGCACCACAGCCGGGCCGGGGCCCCGTGTGCCCCTTCCGCACTGGACGCGGCCGCGTCACCTGGAGCCTGCCACCCGCCCAGCTCTCTGCTGCTCACTGGCACATCCCTTGGAGAGACTGATCTGGGCTTGGCCCTCCCCACGACTGGGGAAACTGGAAGTCCTCACACTGGAGTTGCTGTTCCTGCTGGTCGCCCCTCACGCGCTGCATGGGGAGCCAGGGAGACCTCCTGGGGTCGGGACAGGACCAGTCTGTGTGTGTCTGTCCAGCTCTGGTGGTTGGAGGACTGGCTGCAGGGGCCTTGGAGGCAAGGGTAAGCCTGTGACTGTCCAGAGCCGACCCGCCTACTCTCCCCTCTTGAGACTGTGAGCCGCCCCTCTTCTGGAGTGGGGGACCTGCTGCCTTTGACTTGGCCGGAGCCCTAAAAGACTTGGCTGGATCCGTGAGTCCGCGGAGAATATATAGCTCTTACCCTCGAAGCTGCTCCCTGGGGGGTGGCGAGGTGGTGGACCTTTTGGGGTTTGACTGTTACGCTGGACTTGGGACTTTGAAGCTTTAAGTGTGGCCCAGGTCTCTTCTCCCTGGGAGCACTGGCTCCTGAGAGCTCCCAGGGCAACTGAAGTCAGCCCTGGATGGGCTAGAAAGACTGACCATGTGCCTTACGTATACTTAGTGCCTGGCTGAACCAGTGCAGGGGGCCAGGGGGCCCAGGTAGCCTTGGACCCTTGAACCTGGAGCATCCTGGAAGAGAAGTTCCCCGTGAGCCTCCCCTGCCCCCAATGAGTGTTGCAGCCCCACGGCCTGGGCTCCTAGGAGCTTCCAGAGCTTATAGTCACAGCTGGGACCCATCATTATCTCTGAGCAGAGGAGCGGGAATCCCTGCAAGGCAGCGGGCTGGTCTTGGCTGGTACGTGGAGTCAAACAGCTTTTGCTGTTATTGATGAAGTAATTACTAAAATGCACTTAAGCCGGGGCAGGAGTGGAAGGACGGAGAAGGAAAGGCTGGAGAAGTCCAGAGCTCTCGGGAGACACTTCACCAGACAGGGCCCTGGCTCTGGTCTGTCCCAGGGAGGCTTCAGACACCCATCCTGCTCCCGACCACCGCGATTCTGGCTTCTCCCTCCTCTCTTGTCTGCTGGCGACTTTGTCTCCCCAGATCGAGGGCTCCCATGTTGGGCTCAACTAGCCCATGGCTGGCAGGAGACTCCATCTCCGCCCTCTCCCCCTGGAGGTGGAGCAGTGGGCTTGTGTTGCCGAAGTCTTAACTCAAGTGCCAGTGTTACAGGAACCGTCCTTAGTGGGAGCCTGGAGCGTTCTGAGGTCAAAGCCAGGCTCACCGAAGGAGTGTGGGAAGCATTTAGCCACACCTACACGGGTTCAATAAGGGGAACAGGAATCGCCACCCCTGCCCCGCGGTATTCTGCCACCTCTTTGGGAACCAGGCCTTACCCCTCTCCGACCTCTCATGCTCAGCTCTGAATGGGAGACCTTTCTGTGGGGAGTGGAAATCTTTGAGAAGCCTGTGAGGCACAGGCCCCCTTCGGCCACGGGTCTCAAAGCACTTATCCTCAGGGGAATTGGGGGATAGGGATACCCCACCTCCCAGCTCCCTCCCCAGTGTGGCTCTGCTCCCTCATTCTGACATAGGAATTGCATGGCTCCCCACACCATGCAGGGGGCCGGGCCTTACTTAGGACTACTCTGTTCTCTATCCACCCCCCCCCCCCCCCCGCACTGGGCAGTGGGGGGTGACCCTCCTGAAATGCCTTAAAACTGGTGAGCCCCACCCTTTGTAATAGGATTCTGGGGCTTTCTTAGTGAGGGTGCCTGTCTGTGGACTGTGGCCCCTCAGTCCTTAACTGGAAAGTGACCCTCCACTGCCCGTGGAGCCCTTCTGGACACAGCACAGCCCCAATCTGGTTAGCAGCTGGCTGTTTCCATGCCTGAGGAGGGATCCTCAGTGCAAGGATTGGGGCCAAGCTGGGGTTCCAAGCTGCTTGGGAGGTGGGGGGGGGGTCAACCTTGGACCAAAGTTGCCTTAAGCCCATGAAGGTAAAAGGGCTTCAGGGAAGGGGAGTGGGTCACCTGCTGGAGGCTGACAGCTGCCCAGCTGGCACTGGTAAGTGGGAGTCTTGGCTCCCTTCCCTATGTGGGGTCCAGCAGCCAACCCTCCCTTCCTCTCTCCCCCTTGGCATTTATTCCTGTAGCCACTGGGTTAATCTCCCCCAAGCTTCAAGCTGTACATAGGGCCTCTCAATGCACGAGTCTCTCTGCCCATATCGTATCCTCTCCCTCCACGAAGGCCTGCATGTGCATAGAGCGCCCCTCCCTCCCGGTTAACCCCCAGCCCCCGTCCCTGAGTGCTGACTCCTCTATTTATCGTGTACCAACTCTGACTCTGCAGTGGGCAGAGGGAAGCAGCCCTGGGCCTGCTTTCTTCCTGCTCCTGTTCTTTTCTTCCGAAGTAAATATACGTATATAAATAAATGTAAAAATATGGCTTTGTATCTGACCTTGCCTCCCCTTCTCTTCTTGAGACTGTTGTGGTAGGAGACAGAGTCATCTGTGGGGCTCAGACCAGCTGGAGTCTCTGGGGTTCCTGGGCCAGACGGATGCCTTGTATCCCGTTATCCTTAGCTTCATGCTAGGCTTGGGAACAGGACTCAGCAGCACCCCACCCCACCCCCCTACCACATCCCATGGACCTACCGCTGCCCCACCCGGGTTAAAGGAGCCATCCGAGGGTAACACTCCTCTGGGGGACAAGCTGAGCCTTGGGAAGGTCCCCAGCACACAGAAGGGTGGCTATATTTAGAAGATGGAATTGGCTCAGGGCAGACTTGATTGGCGTGAGTTCCCAGAGAAGTCTGCTCTAAAAACAGCAGAAGGATAGGCCTGGCCCCTTCCTATCCACGGAGCTTTAAATTCCAAGGACAGACACCCCTCGCATACCCGCCTCACCCCTCACAGGTAGAGAAAGCAGGGCTTCCCAGCAGCAGGAACCAACTGAAAGGCAGAAGAAAAACAGGAAGGGGTGGGACCGGGGAAGTCACCTGGGGCCTGGCGCCACTCCACTGCCTCCCAACTCTGTGGAATGGGCACCAGACGGGGCGGTCACACATCTGCCTTTATTGGGAGCAGCGGGTGGGACACTTTCAGCAACAGTAAAAAAATTAATTTACAAAAGCAGGAATTCAGTGAAGCCGCCTGACTGGAACCTGAAAGAGGAGAAGGAGGTATCAAAATGAGATCGATGACCCTTCTTTCCACCTCCTCTTCTCACTGGGCCCTGTGCTCCTGGGGCAAGGGCTGACAGGCCCACTGCTCTGAAGCTGGGCCACCAAAGCCGATTCTCAGTGACCTGTTCGGTGGATTATCTGCAGCAAGGGTTTTGGGTTTTTTTTTTTTAAATCACTTAGTCAAGATTTATTTTAATGACTGAAAACATTCAAACTAACCACAGTGGTACTCCTTGCGGCCAGATTCTGACCCCCTTTTAATCCATTCCCAAGCAGCCTCACCAGGTCAATGGTGTATGATATATAAGGAGGCAAATGTCTAACATGGGAAGACTGCGCCCACAGCCCTACAAAGTATATCCCAAAGCCCAATCAAGGCCCTGGGCAGTGTGCAGAACTTAGAATCACAACATAGGACACAGATCCTCATTTGGGACAGGGAAAGAGGCACACATGCCTGGTGTCCCTCTCCACTCTGCAGTCTGTCACCATTAACCAAAGTGTCACACAGGCCCGAGGACCCCGCTAACGGGGATGTGGGAAACTTCTCTAGTGCCCACCCTGTCACAGCTCTTACCCTTGGGAGCTCATACGTAGATGCCAACCCAGAGCAGCAGGAAGAGGACTCCAAAACCCATGAAGAGCGAGGCCACCAAGGAGATGAGGAGCTCTTTGTAGATATCCCGAGTGTATTTGGTGGAGGTAACCTCATAACTGACAGGCTGATTAAGGAGAAGCAAAGGGATGGACTGGGTAGGACAAGAAGCCTGGTCAGTGCAGCGCCAGGAAAAAGGTACACAGTGAGCCTTCCAGAAGGCTTGCCTGGCTCAGGACAGCCAGGAAGTGGGGCCTGAGAGATGACCTGGTCTCTGTTGCTTCATACCAGCCCTCAACCAGCCATGAAGGAAATCAGGCCCAGAGGGGTTAGGTCACTTGCCCCAGGTCACACAGCTAGCAGACAGTGGAACTGACACTAGTCCGCAGATCTCTTGCCGCCTGAGCATTCCCTTCTTTTGCCACTTTTCCAACTTCAGACCCCCTATCCCCAACCTCCAGCCCAGCCAGGTCTTCTGTTCATGATCCTGGAAATCTGAAGAGCAAACTAAGCTCCCCTGAACTTGGGAAATAAGGCCAGCACCTGATCTTGGACATCAACAGCTTTTCTCCAACCTCCTTACCTTCCCCCTATCCCCACACCAGAGCAAAACCAGCAGCGTGCATGTACCCAGCACAGTTTCTCCCTCAGTTTCCCCACATTGCTAATTCTGGCCTCACTGGCTGCTCAGTAAAAGGATACACGAAGAACCAGGCCGTAAAGAACATGCCAATTGCCAACAGCACCACGGTCAGATGAGGGAAGACAGCAGGGTTCACTGGGCTGGTGTATCTGCTCATGGCCTCGAGCTCCTAGGGGATGGCATGAGATCAGAGCTATCAAAGAATCCCAGGACTTCAATCTGAGGGGGGAGTATGAGGTCATCAAGGAGCCTCCTCCTTCTAGGACTGTTGAAGGTCTGTTTCCGCCTGGGAAATATAGAAGTCCTCCAGAACCAACATCAAGCAATTCCATTTGGAAATGATATCAATGGTATCTTAAACTAAAGGTGGAACTTTTGCTTTTTCAATATGAGAGAGGAACGGCAGCTGAGAGTCAGAGGCTGACACAGAAGGTGACTGATTGGCTATCCATCAGTGGTCCCTAACATTTTTTGAGACCACTGATGACCATGAAAAAAAATGTGATTAAAAGTATGGACCCCACCCAGGGTAAACCACAAGCAAGAAAAGATATGCCTGTAACTTTAGAAACTCTATGGACCCATGTCTGTAGACACCAAGCTCAGAATTCTGCTGTAATCCAGAGCCTGGGCTGGGACCCAATCTCAACGTCTACACCTGTATTCTTCCCACTACGCTATTAATGGAATCTCAGGCTCTACTAGGAAAGACTTCAGTTAATAATCTGGCTCTACTGAATAGCACGAGTCTCAGTAAAACAGTTATAATAACACCACTCACAGAGTTGATGTATGATTTAAGAAAGATGACAAACGTCAAAGCAACTAGCTCACTTCTTGGCATAGAGTAGTCGTTCAAAAAGTGTTTGTTTCCTTCCCAAGCTTACAGGGAAGATTATGAGATAATGCTCGTGAAGGAGGGCTGTAAACGGCAAAGTTCTGTACAAATGCTGACTTCCAGTGTCACTCACCAGCCAACGCTCCTAATGTCCAGAACATAACAACTCTAGAGAGAGAAACTGACCCCATTGTTCTAGGAGACACTGGAATTCAATTCAGTAAACATTTATGGGCCCCCCTCCCCCCAAAAATGATAAAGACAACGGCTGCCATTCATTGGGCCTCCAATTGCAGGCCCTGTGTTTGGCACTGGGGATACAAACATGAATAGACAACATCCCAGAGCTAGAGGCACGTCAGATGGTGGTCACTAGGAGGCGTGGCAGATAACAAAGAAGTCCATGACATGTGGCAAGAGGTCTGTACGGAGGTTGTGGGAGCTCCCAGGAGAGAGCGGCCAAGTCGGCCGTCCACCACCAAGAAAGTTGAACATCTGCCCTGGGCCTCGTAGGATGAGTAGGAGTTCAACAGGAGGAAGAAGTTCCCACACAGAGATAACAGCTTAATCGCAGGTAACAGAGATAAGAGCCCAAGGTATTAAAAACGCACCTCACACGCCTCACCCCTTAAAAGTCAAGAGATCAAAACCTCAGCCTAACGAGTCCCAGGCAAGGGGCTTCCCTTTCCGCCCCCTAAGCCCAAGCCGGAGGATACAGGAGCCTCCGGCTGTCTGGATCTCGGGCTTCTGAGGCCTTCGCGAGAGAAACCGAGTGTGGAACGGGCCCCAAGGGGTCCTCACAGTCCCGTCCAGAACACCCCTCAACCCCCTCACCATTTTGCCAGGCACGGGGTCATCCACCGCTCCGCCACCGGAATAACACGTCGGCAGGGGCAGGCGCACTGGTCTGCGGAAGAGGACGTGCCCCCCCGCGCGAATGGCATTGTGGGATTTGTAGGCCTGTGGGTTAGGGTGTAGAGGGGGCTGCGGCCTGTAGGCGCCTGCTGTAGAGCTGGGGCAAGGGTACCGCAGAGCCGCTGAGAGGGTTCGCTCTCCCCGGCGGGACTGTTTGGCCCAAGGGAAACTGACCGAGGGCGGGGGTCGGGCCCGACCCCACACTTCCCGGGAGGCTGTGCGCGGCGGCAGTCACGTGACGGGAGCGCGGGCTTTGGAAGACAGCGGAGCGCGACAGGATCCGCGGCGGAGCTCAGGAGGGTGCGGGGCAGAGCAGCGTCCTGGGCAGCCCCCGACCCAGCGCTACTGTCGAGGCCTCGCGCTCCAAAGGCCAGGTGAGACCGGGTGGGAAGCGTGTCCGAGGGCGGCGGGGTCCACCTCACTCTGGGTGTTGGGGCGGGGGGCGGGGGGCTGTCTGCCGCGCGCGGGGCGGAGGCCAGAGCGCGGGCCCGCCACCTTCCCGCTCTGCGGCTCGAACCGGTCGCCTAACCTCCCTTCATTTGTGGAAGGCGGGAGATAGCTTGCACCCTCTGGGCCGTTGGGTACTTTGACCAAGATCCTGGATGAGAAACATTTTGGAGACTTCACTGGTTTAGACCCCTTTGCCGCCTGCCGCTGTTGGGGGCTGCGGGGGCTAGCCGGCCGGCAGGCACGGACCCCTCGGTCAGCCTTCTAGCCAAGCAGCCGGCCTGAGGCGGGACCCGGCGATCGAGTGGCTTCTGCCGGAGGAACGGTTCCGGGCACCCCGTGTATGGCAGGAGCCAGAGGATGGCGGGAGGAGGGCACGGCTGAGCAGCAGTGAGAAAGGGCAGGGCTTCTCCCGGACTGTGAAGGTAGGTTGGGAAGCAGAGCACGGAGGATCTTGACAGCAGGTTGAGGTGTTAGGACTTCAGTAGAAGCGAGGATTGTAGCTTTATGATGCTTTAGAAAGAATCCTCCAAAGTGGGAGCAGCGAAAAGGTCTAGTGTCATCTTTCTTGGAGTGTTGGACGCATGCCACCAGTGGACACACGATGGCTTTATTTATTTATTAAGATTTTATTTATTTATTTGAGAGAGAGAGAGTGTGTGAGAGGGGAGAGGGTCAGAGGGAGAAACGGACTCCCTGCTGGCTCTATCCGGGGACTCTGGGATCATGACCTGAGCTGAAGGCATTCGCTTAACCAACTGAGCCACTCAGACGCCCCACACGATGACTTTAAATGGCATCCAAAAAATCCTTTTTAGCAGTCACACATTTGACACGTTAAAATATAACTGGTAGGACACAGGCATTACTGCTTAAGAGGAGTTCTCTTTTTCAACTTACCTTCGTTTTTAAAACAATGGTGTCCCTTTAAAATATTATGTGGATGAAAGTCCGGGTTTTAGATGGGAGTGGCGGAAAAAATCTGGGAAGGTGGTTTGGGTCTGACCGAAGTCCGGGAAGCACTGCCCTAGGAAATACTTGTAAAGGGGCCTGAACCACAGAAGTGCCAAGTGGGAATAAGCAACTCCAGCTTGCCAGCTTCCTAGATCAGGACCTAGGGTCAGGTAGGAGCCATGGAGTTCACGCTTCCGACTTAGTGGTGGGGAGAAAATACAAAGGGAAAGAGTTAAAATTTCTAGCAACATCGTGGTAGGAGTAGAAACCAGGTGCAGTGCTGAGGGGACACTGAGGGGAGACTTGAGCCGCAGTGTGTGAGAAAGCCACATAACTCTTGTTCACGTATGGTCTTTTTTTTTTTTTTTAAGATTTTATTTATTTATTTGACAGAGACAGATCACAAGTAGGCAGAGAGGCAGGCAGAGAGAGAGGGGGAAGCAGGCTTCCTGCTGAGCAGAGAGCCTGATGTGGGGCTCGATCCCAGGACCCCGAGATCATAACCCTGGCCGAAGGCAGAGGCTTAACCTACTGAGCCACCCAGGTGCCCCTGTTCACCTATGGTCTCTACCAGTCCTCCTTAGGGCTGCTGTATCAGCCAGGATTCTCCAGAGAAACAATAAGGTATAGGATATGGACAGATGTAAGGAGATTTATGTTAAGGAATTGTTTTAAGGAATATTTTAAGGAATTATTTTAAGGAATTAAGAGGTTGGCAAGGTTGAAAATGATCGGGCTGGCACGCGGGCTGGAAACTCATGCAGGAGTTGATGGTGCAGTCCTCAGGCAGAATTTCTTTGGGAAACCGTTATTGCCGCCAAGGCCTTAAGGCTGATTGAATGAGGTCCACCCATGCGATGGAGGATAATCTCCTTTGCTTAAAGTTAACTGATGATGTCACAAAATTACCTTCACACCAACACCGGGATTGGCGTTAGAGTAAATAACCGGGCGCAGCAGCCTAGCCAAGTGGGCTCATAAAACTAACCGGCACCACTGCTAAGAGGTGGGGAGCCAGAGGAATGAGTTGGGGGTGTTGAGTGACTGGCATAAAGGTACAGAGGAGGAATGTATGACTTGTCAGTGAGTTGGCAAGAAGATAGATAACTCGTGTTTATTTGGCCGCTGTACACATTCAGCTTTGTATTATGGTTGCTTTTGTACTCGTGTCATCTCTGTTTAGCCAGTATTTGCTTGTCCAGGGCTTGGTTCTGTCTCCACATTATGGCTCCTCAGGCCAGGGTAGGCACTGTCCTCTGGACTCGTGGGGTCCTCGATGCCCACGCCAGTGGTAGCCCTTACTGCGTGCGAGCCCTATTGTTGCCTTATCCATGACACCTTAAGTCCCTCAACATCAGCAGGATCTTATTCCTCTTAACACCCAGTTTTTTCCTCCGATACCCGGGAAGCCTTAGTATTAATTGAGTGGCCTCACTTGCTAGAGGGTAAGTTTTTTTTGCTAATGGCGACCTTGTCTCGTTCATCTTTTCGTCTTCTGCGGTCCCATATGGGCGTCCTTCTTGTTGTGCTCAGTTTGTTCAGTCGAAGGCATGAAGTTGGTGGGATAGCACCGTGATCCTTTGCATCCTTTAAGTTCCTCCTCTTCTCACTTTACTCCTTTCTTTCTTTTTCAGCTGCCCGTCCTCTGTATTGCTATGGGAATTCAAGGCCTGGCCAAACTGATTGCTGATGTGGCCCCTAGTGCCATTCGGGAGAATGACATCAAGAGCTACTTTGGCCGCAAGGTGGCTATTGATGCCTCTATGAGCATTTATCAGTTCCTGATTGCAGTTCGCCAGGGTGGGGATGTGCTGCAGAATGAGGAGGGGGAGACCACCAGCCACCTGATGGGCATGTTCTACCGCACCATCCGCATGATGGAGAACGGCATCAAGCCCGTGTATGTCTTCGACGGCAAGCCACCACAGCTCAAGTCGGGTGAGCTGGCCAAGCGCAGCGAGCGGCGGGTGGAGGCGGAGAAGCAGCTGCAGCAGGCTCAGGCCGCGGGGGCGGAGGAAGAGGTGGAAAAGTTTACTAAGAGGCTGGTAAAGGTCACCAAGCAGCACAATGACGAGTGCAAGCATCTGCTGAGCCTCATGGGCGTCCCGTACCTTGATGCGCCCAGTGAGGCCGAGGCCAGCTGTGCCGCCCTCGTGAAGGCTGGCAAAGTCTATGCTGCGGCCACCGAGGACATGGATTGCCTGACCTTTGGCAGCCCCGTGCTAATGCGGCACCTGACTGCCAGTGAGGCCAAGAAGCTGCCCATCCAGGAATTCCACCTGAGCCGGATTCTGCAGGAGCTAGGCCTGAGCCAGGAGCAGTTTGTAGATCTGTGCATCCTGCTGGGCAGCGACTACTGCGAGAGCATTCGGGGCATTGGGCCCAGGCGGGCCATGGGCCTCATCCAGAAGCACAAGAGCATCGAGGAGATTGTGCGGCAGCTTGACCCCAGCAAGTACCCGGTGCCGGAAAACTGGCTCCACAAGGAGGCCCAGCAGCTCTTCCTGGAGCCCGAGGTGCTCGACCCAGAGTCTGTGGAGCTGAAGTGGAGCGAGCCAAACGAAGAGGAGCTCGTCAAGTTCATGTGTGGCGAAAAGCAGTTCTCTGAGGAGCGAATCCGCAGTGGCGTCCGGCGGCTGAGCAAGAGCCGCCAAGGCAGCACCCAGGGTCGCCTGGATGATTTCTTCAAGGTGACTGGCTCGCTCTCTTCAGCTAAGCGCAAGGAGCCAGAGCCCAAGGGATCTGCTAAGAAGAAGGCAAAGACTGGGGCAGCAGGGAAGCTCAAAAGGGGAAAATAAATGCGTTTCCCCTCCTAGCGCCTTGACCCCAGAATGTCTACCTTCTCGTACCCTCGGGAGCTAGCGCTAGAGAAACCGCTGGGGGCGGGGAGGGGATTGCATTGCTTCTCTAGCTCTAGCCTTCTCGGTAGTGCTTTTCCCTTTTGTACTTGATCTGATGGCAGGAACGCCACAGAGCTACTTTGTTTTCTTCTTTTTTAGCTCAGGAGAGTATGTCCCGCTCAAAACAGCTCTCAGGCAATTTAAGGGACACTGAATCTATTGTTAATGAAGAGGGAGTGGGAGATAAACCGTAGAGACAGCCGACTGGACTAAAATGATTTCCTGGCTGGCCACCTGGTGGCTGACAGGAGTGGGTGGTGGCACCAGACTGCACTCATCTCTGGTTCAGCCTTGACCCACCCTGTGGGACAGCCATCAGGAAGACTGAGCCTTAACAGTTGGGGAGAGCTGGAGTCCCTGGAGTTGGCAAGAAGGGTCCGATTACTGTGTGTCCTGGGGTGGGGGCTGACACTTGAACTTGCTATGTAACTTGAGTCTTCACAGTGGTTATTTAGAGGTGTAAGATGGCGAAATTCTAATGTCCTCTCTGAGGCAGCAGAGTAGAGACTTCGGGATAAGATGCTATTTTCATGTGCTATATTTGTTTTTGTTTTAAAGATACGAGAAAAGAGTCAATAAAATTATAAAAACAAACCAGAATGTCATGTTCTCTGACAACTTTGAAAACATCTCGAGTGCCTCCAGGCTTCAGGCAGTATAATGTTCTTTTCGCGCTGAAGAGAACTCTCGGGAAGTGTACCGTTACAAGAGGTTTGAGAGTGGCCACAAGGTGGCGCCACGCCCCACAGAAGGGCTAAGGCTGCTTTGGCTGTATTTAAGCCATTTGGAGAAAGGCCTGGTTTAACTTAACCAGGAAAGAAATTTGAATAAATTGAATGGATTTCTAGTTTCCCACCTACTGTGTGGGGGAAGGAGCACCTTTGAGAAAGCCTCACAGTTTTGATCAGCTACTTCATAGCATCTAAGCATTTTCCTTACCAGTTTATAAATTGTGAAAAAACCACTTCAGAGATTACTTCTGTGTTTCTTTTGTGACATCAAATTCAGGCTGCTGTTTCCCATGGAGATGGAATGTTTGAACAGTTTTATAGTCCTGACAAAACTTGGTGGGGAGTTTCTAATTTTTTAGCATTCCTGTCACTGCCATTTGAAGTTAACAGGCACACTTAAGCAATCTGAAATTTAAACTGCCAATATTCTAACAGATTAAGCAGGTAGAAGACTAAAGACTGGTGGTCTTCAAAATTTCTCACAGGGCAACGTATTTTTCGAGTGCAATCTTACGTGGAACCTCAGGATATGAGCTTCTCTGGTTGAAGGAGGAGTGGGACTGTTAGGGTCCGTGATCAAAGAACGAGACTGATATAAAGCAAAAATCAAAGCTTTATTTCACGCCAAGCATCAAAAATCAAACTGAGCGGTCAGGGCTGTCTCTTACGAAAAGGTGATGACGATGACCCCGGCAAGTCCACTCCCAACGTGGCTGCTCTGGACAAGGCCTTTCTGTAGATGAGGCCACTCTGGACGAGGCCACTTGCAGGACGAGGCCGCAGCTGATGAGGTCGCTCCTCAGACAGGGCTGCTCCCCGGAAAGGCTGCTCCCCGGACAAGGGCTGCTCCGGCGAGGCCGCTCCTCGGATAAGGCTGCTCACAAAAAGAGGCCACTCTGGAGGAAGCCTCTTTCCTGACGAAGCTGCTCCCCGGAATGGCACAGCTCCAGCGAGGCTGCGGCTCAGGGTATCAAGGCCGCTCCTGGCAGCGAGGCCATTCGCAGCAAGGTTGCTGGCGTCTAGGCCTTTCCCCGCTGTGTGTCAGCGGGGCCGCTGGTGTCGGGACCGCTGGCGTCAAGACCGCTGGCGGCTCGGCTGCTGCTGGAGTGCTGGGACCTCTGGCGTGCTGGGACAGCTGGCATCGGGACCGCTGGCGTCAGGACCGTTGGCGTCGGGACCGCTGGTGTCAGGACCGCTGGCGGCTCGGCTGCTGCTGGAGTGCTGGTGGCTCCGCTGCTTCCCGTGGCGCCGCTACCGAAGCCGTGGTGTGGGCAGGGCTGCGGGCGTTGGGGCCGCCGGAGGCTCGTCTAGCTCTGACAAGAGCTGTCACAACTTTCACAGCTCTTACAAGAGCTGTCACAGCTTTCTTCTGCTCCCACCGACTCTCCTTCCTCTTCTCCCGCCGACTCTTCTCTCTGCTGCTCCCGCTGACTCTTCTACTGCTTCTTCTTCCTTCGACAGCTCTCCTTCTCCCCCTTGCCAGCCTCGCAGACCAACCTTTATGGGGGCGGTTGAGCCCCGCCCCTACACAGGTAGCCAATTGAATCCTAATTCACCCAGTGGATATACCCACGCCACACCGATTGGACGTCTTCACCCGGCCTGCCCCGCCCCTACTTCTGGGGTCCACAAGCTAGTTCCTCTGGGAGGGGCAGGCCCTTACAGGACATAGTCTTCCCAGCAGTACTCTCATAACTAGGGGACTCCCAAACCACTGGTGTAGATGGAAAGTTCTATTCTGAGGGCAGGGATCTTGGTTTTGGTTACTGCTGTATCCATCATTGGATGGAATGGGTTTTCTGACTGGACCAAGCCACGCAACTTTTGGGAGCACCAAGTAATCTAAGTTTGTGGTAATGATGATGGGGCCCAGGGGTGGAAAAACTTCCTTAGGGAGTGAGTGATGGCCTCAGTGCTGTAGCTTTAGTTAAGGGCTTGTACCCTGTGGTAGTCAGACATGTAGAGTGGTTTTCCTTTCTTCTTTTTGGTTTTTTTTTTGGTTTATTAAGATTTTTATTTATTTATTTGAGAGAGAGAGAAGGAGCACAATCAGGGGAAGCCATAGAAGCAGAGGGAGAAGCAGGCTCCCCACTGAGCAGGGAGCCGGATGTGGGACTCCATCATGACATGAGCCGAAGGTAGACGCTTAACAGACTGAGCCACCCAAGTGCCCCATGGTGCTTTCTTTTTTAAAAGATTTATTTCAGGGCACCAGGGTGGCTCAGTTGGTTAAGCGACTGCCTTTGGCTCAGGTCATGATGCCAGAGTCTCAGGATCGAATCCTGCATTGGGGTCCCATCCCAGCTCCACAGGGAGTCTGCTTCTCCCTCTGACCTTCTCTTCTCTCATGCTCTGTCTCTCAAATAAATAAAATCTGTTTTTTAAAAAAAGGATTTATTTCAGACAGAGCGCATGTGTGCATGAGCAGGGTAGGTGAGGGCCAGAGGGAGAAGCAGGCTGTTCACTGAGCAGGGAGCCTGACCGGGAGGGGGGGGCAGTGGGGGGGTGTTCATCCCAGGACTCTGTGATCGTGACCTGAGCCAAAGGCAGAAGTTGAACCAACTAAACCACCCAGATGCCCTTTTGTTTTTTCAAGTTGAGTTGTCTGGTCTTTTATAGTTGATTAACTACTGCACACTCTAGGCAAGACCAGTTCTGCAAATTTTTACTTAGCATGTTCTAATGTTCTTGCTCAAAGGGAGCTGTTCTAGCAAGACTGAGGTTAAAAAGGCATTGTAGTCCAGCTCTGAAGCACGGCACCTGCAGAGAAAGGTTCAGGCAAAACAAGAGACTTTTAGGGACCCTCTGTATTGAGACTAGAAACAAGGGCAAAAGAGTGAGGGTGTTGCCTCATGAAAGGAGACGCATGCACCCCAGCTAGTGTTTGTGGGGAGTGAGCACTTGAACATAGGGGGGTCTTGAGAAGGGGCTGGCTTGCTTTCTCCTTGCCATGGCCTACCTGTGCCTTGGTGTCCCTTCGGAGGGTCCTGCTGCTCCTCTGCCCAAAGCCCTCGTGCAAAGGAGATTCCGTTTGGGAACTCCTGGTCAGAAAGTTCCAGCCATAGAGGTAGGTAGTAACTTACAGCAACAGGCACAGGGAGTCCCATTGACATGCGCAGAAGAAAACCGTGGATTACGACAAGTGATTAGAATAGCCTTCATTTGGTCAAAATTAACTTTATTTTTCAGCTTTACCTCATTTGGATGTGGTAACAAAATTAGCACACACAAAAAGAATGCAGATGTGGGGGCCAGTTAAAGAAAGTGCTTCCAGGAATGTGGTGGGAAGATGAGAATAACAAAGATAAACATGTAGGTTGGAATTCTAAAACACTGAGTTCAGATGTTAGTTTTGCCACAATCTGTGACCGGAGGTGACTTGTCCTCTTTAAGCTTGTTTTCTCATGTCATTGCTTGGATTTGAGATCACTCATCACACTGTTAAAACAGTCTGAGGCTTTTTGTCGCTGGTGTGTTCCTCTGTGGCCGTGTGAGACCACACTAGGTTAAGGAGAGAAGGCCACGGTGGTTGAAACGCGTTGAGGACCTGGGCTTGGCTCAGTAAGCCGTGCTGGGCTTGCTCCGACTGGCAGCCAGGTGGCTGGACAGGCTGGTGACAGGACTCCCTAAACCTGGGGGAGTAGGGGCCAGAGGGATGGGGCAGGACCAGCACCTGTTCTGGTGGGAGGAAGCCAATGAAAGTAGAACTTCTCAGTCCTGCTTCTAGTCTTTCTATCCAGGTTTTTCAAACCAAGTCCTGTGCAAATGGAGAAGAGCTAAACTCTTCTGCAACCTGTCCTGCCCTCGTGTTGGCTCTTTAATCTGTGTTTTGACAAACCGTTAAAGTCATCCCTGCCGCCTTTCCACGGGGATGTTCTAACCCCACTGCAGCTCACTTTCAGATGACCTTTGTTCTCTCCCACAACTAAACGCAGGCTCAACTAAACTATGGCTCTGCTTTTTCCTTCTAGTTTGAGTTTCCTCCTTTCCGGATCCAAAATGAGCAATATGCTTAGAGTAGGTGCTGTGCAACCGGTCAATCACTAAATCACGGCCTCACCTACAGGGGAAAGCTGTGGTCGTGGGGCGGAGCAGAGGCTGTGAATGCAGAGGACAAGCCCTGGGGCTTAAGGCAAAGACTATTGGGCACGTTCTTTTGTTTGTTTGCTTTAGACACGGGTTAAATCGTTACCTTTTAAGAACAAGATTTTGTAAAAAACTGTATTTCAGTATTAGGCGGGGAGGCTTTTTAAGAGATTATTTTAAATTCCTACCTGGTGTCCAGCTGAGAAGACGCTTGAAGAGTTCATAGTTCACAAACTGTTTTTATCTTCCTATCTCTGGTTTAGGACTGTGAAGGGATTATATTTAATTCACTGTTCCTACTCAGAAGCAATACATTGCTTCTTCTGAGAAATTTCTAAGACATTAAAAAGAAATTGCTTCTTCATTTCTAATTAAGAAATTTAGAAAATTTCTTAGCAACCCCTATATTCTTTAGGACTGAATTTTGTGTTTTCCTCCTGACTGATAACTTAGGGTCTCCCAATGGGGTCACTTGTGCTGACTACTTTATTCAACTTGGACTTACAGGTAGGAAGACAAAGGGAAACCACTGGGAACCTCCACTTGTTTCTAGGGAGGAGATGAAGTTGTCCCGTCTGTTTGGTTGTTTGTGGATAAGAATCAAGAAGTAGACTCTCCATCCTAGAAGTGTGTTGCTCCTTGGGTGGTGATTATAAGAGGTGATCCCAAGGTGGAGGGGATTTTGAATGACCAGTAACTCTCCTTGCTATTTTGGCAAGACCTAGGACCTAATGCTCCCCGGGTGGAACATAAGCTCAAAAATCAGTAATGCCAGGAGCCTTCACAGTCAGAGGTCTCCAGCAACACAGTCCCGGCTTTGCTCTGCCTGCTTCTAAAAGTGGGAAAATTGCTTCTCCAGGAGCCTGAGGCAGACCTAGGTCCCACCTAGCTGTAGAGTGAGCTGAGCCTCCCAGGCAGAGCACTACACCAGGCCTCAAATATAAGTCTTGCTCAGAAGGTTCAGAGGCTCTGTTTTCTCAGACAGTAGCGGGTGGGGAAGGCACTGAGAAGCGGACCAGTGAGATGGGCTCACCCCTTTCCTGGCTGGAATTTTTAATGCTAAATCTCTTACTGATTTTTGGGCTTGGTAGGTCCCCCCTATTCTTCCAACACCCCGACTCCCTCTTTGCTCACCAAGCATCAGTTTCTGGCAAACTAGAAAAAGGAAAGGAAACTTACATCTCTGCCCCAATAGCTCCACCCCTCCCTCCAGGGGCCATGCATGTCTTTGGGTCTTACGTCTGTGCCTGGAAGATAAGGGGGAGGGGTTTGAGTTGAGCCTTTATCTCCTCAAACCCACCCCCTCTGAATATTATAATTATAGTGGCATTTTCCCTCAAGCTCCCCTCTGCCTTGGTGCCAGAAAAATCATCTCCCAGATGGGCTGGTATTATCATTGAAGACAGGCATCTCTTCCAGATGGAGCAGCTGTTTTACTGGTGAAGATAGGCATCTAGCCAGAGCTGCCCAGACTCCTTCAGTGAGCTGTGGGGGCAAGATGGGAGCAGGAGGTGAAAGAGAGCAGAGCCAGGGCCGAAAGCCAAACAAACCACCCTAAAACATGGAGTAGTGAGGCTCTTACAGGGGAATGGAGGCCGATATCCATGGCATATGGCCCCTTTCCTCCCCTTTGCTTCTGAGAAGTAGCTTGGGCCATGGCATTGGGAACAAAGGCTTGCCTTGGCCACAGGACCAACAGAGCATCCTGCCTTTGTCTTGGTGGCGTCCATTCCAGAAGACTGGGAAACCTGCCTGTTGCTCCCACCCCACACATCACCCACCCCATTGCCTGCCCTCTTTCCACCCTACCAGCCATCTTCCCAGGCTCAGGTACTCACTAGATAATGTCGGCGAAGGCTGAGAGCAGGGGCTTGGACTGGTACTCTATGCCATGCTTGGCACACAGGGACTGCACCAGGGGAGCCACTTTATGGTAATTGTGTCGAGGCATTGTGGGGAAAAGACTTCAGGGAGAACGGGACAGTCAGTGGCTTTATTCCACTCTTTCAACCTCCCCACTTTCCCCACAGGGACCCTCCCAAGGACCCTGCTTCTCAGGTCTCCCTACTTACTGGTGCTCTATCTGGAAGTTGAGATGGCCACTGAACCAGTCATTGAAGGCAGACTTGTGGACATTACATGTTGCACGGAGCTGGAGGAAGAGGGCAGGGGAGAGTGTGGCTCTGGGTACCAGATGAAAAGGCCAACGCAACCTTCTCCAGGCAAAGCTGGCTGAGAGGAGGGAGTGTGGGACCGTCCCTGGTCACGCCACATGGTGGTGGGAGTGAAGCTTCCAGCCAATGAGGCAGTGCTGTTTGGGGACTTTTGTTGTTAACTGCCCCAGCCCCTTGCCTGCATCGGGGCCCACCCACCCTTTTCATGAGTTATGTCATCCCCAGGTCTTCCAAGTGACCGTCCCTTACCTGGATGGAGACCCAGTCCATGTTCCGGTCGTGATCAATGTGCATGGGGATGTGGTTCATCTGTGTGACCCACACAAACCAGTGGCTTTCCAGGAACCTGGTGGGTAGGGCACACAGACAAAGACGGTACAAGTTAGACTTCTTTTCCCTCAGGTAACAGCTCTGGCCTGGCCATCTTCCCAAGCCAACACCCGAGACACCCCTGGTGCCTAAAGCCCCAGCGCAGCCCCCAGACCAGACTCGTTTCTCCCACAGATCGGCTTTGCTTTGTCATGGCTCCTTCCCCAGCAAATAGTACCTGACCATGAAGAAAAGGCCCAGAATGCCTTTCAGTCCCAGCAACGGGCCGTAGGTCAGGAAGAAGCGGGCGTAGAAGGTGACCATCCAGGCCAAGTCCTGCATCGAGAGGCAGACAGCGCGATGACTGGCACAAAGCACTTCCTCCTCTCCCTTTTGTTTCACCCGTTTGCCTGGTACAGCCCCTCTGCCAGGGACCCAGACTGGAACGCTGTCACTGGCGGCTTCTCTTCATCTACCCAGTCCTGCAATATCTCGTGCCGCCACGCCTTCCTTCCATTCTTTGCGGTGGCCCCCAGTCCTCCTTGCCTGTTTCCTTCCCAGGTGCCAAGGCCTCCGGGCTCTCCCGGCCTCCAGCTCCTCCCAGCCTGTCAACGTTCTTTATCCCTTCATCAAGATGCCAAATCAGTCTCCCCGGATGGCGGCCCGGTCTGTGCCAGCGCCCTGCTCCAGCACTCCTTCGGCATCACAGCTCTCCCCTGACATGAGTCCACAACACGCCCAAGTGGCCAAAACTGCCCCTCACTTCCCAGCTTCTCTGCTCAGAGTCCATCCTCCCCCCCACCCCACCTCTGCCTACCTTCCAAGGCCAGCTACAGAAGTGACTTCGCGAAGCCTTTTCTGATGCCTCTCATCTAGCCAGGAGCGGGCAGGGCCATTTTAGAATCCCAGAACCTTCTGCATTTACCTCTTCCCCACCTGAAAGCCTGGCTCCTGGCTTTATACCAAGCACAAGAACCTCAGAAGGTACCAGATGAATGAAACAGGCCATGGGGTTGCGTGGGCTGTGCCTGGGGGGCTCAGTCAGCTGAGTACCCGACTCTTGGTTTCTGCCCAGCTCATGATCTCAGGGTCATGGGCCTGAGCCTGGTGTTCTGTGCTTAGCACCAAATCTACTTCAGAGATAATCTCCCTCTCCCTCTGCCCTTTCCCCTGCCTGTGCATGCTCTCTCTCTTTCTCTCTCTCTCATGAATGAATGACTAAAATCTTAAAAAAAAAAAAAAAAAAAAATAGGGGTTTGGGAGTTAAGCTGTCTGCTGAGTCCACGTCATCCACCTAGAGACAAGGAAGGTCTGTGTTCGGTTCTATTAACTTTGTTCTAAATTAGGCCTGGAGTACATTTCCATGAGCTTTCCTCTGGAGAACCCCCACCCCCACAAAGGATGTGGAACTTGGGGGCCATGGATACTCACCACCCACTTCTTCCGCTGGATAACAAAATAGAAAATATACCACTGGAAGTAGAGAGGCAGCAAGGCTGGGGGCCCAACTGGGGAGGAAATGGAGACAGGGAGGGGGTGTGAGCAGCATGAGGGCAGTTCCGCGCAGGAGGGGTAGCCTCTGGCCTGGGGCTGCCCCCGCCACCTCTTCCTGCAGCCCCTTCCAGCTGCCTTGGCTTTCTTTTTTTTTTTTTTTTTTTTTTTTGCCTTGGCTTTCTTGACTCCACTGCAACCAGCAGGCCCGGAAGGTGGGCATGAATGCAAGTCTGAAGAAGGCAAGACCTCCCAAGAGGATGCCAGGAGAGTGAAGGTGGGAGTGACATTCTCTTCCAGGGGAACAAGGCAGCTGGGGAAACTCCTTGCACAGAACCCGCCCTGCTGCCTGTCCTCGCGCTCACCCGCCCTGTCTTCCCCGCTGCTCTGCCGAGCAGGTGAAGGGAGGGGAGCAGGGGGCCCTGCTGAGGCTTCATGGGCTGAAAGCTTACTTCTTTGGACTAGGAAAATGAGCCAGCACCGCTCAACCCGAAGCCCTGGAGGGCAGGCCTAGGAAGGGGCAGCCGGGCTTCTCAGAACGCTGGGAGTCAAAGAAGGGGTCCCCTACTAATGCTGTGCCATTTCCTTTTCTGTATCCCTTCTCTGCGGGGTCCTCACGCTCCCTATAACCCCCGCAGGACCGTGCTCACCTACGGCTCCTCTCTCCTGATGGGCCACGGATTCTAAAATTCTTCCAGACTTTTCTGCTCTACCCTTCTACCCCGTCCCCCTTTCTCCAGGCAGTTAGGATAAATTCCTTTGAACTAAAATGGGATCAGTGGAATCCTCCTTTCCCTTCCTTTAAAAATTTGAATTTTTATGGGAAATAGAAAACTCAAATTTTAGGCATGATGAAGACTTTTAAAAGCAAGGAATAGGGGCGCCTGGGTGGCTCAGTGGGTTAAAGCCTCTGCCTTTGGCTCAGGTCATGATCCCAGGGTCCTGGGATCAAGTCCCGCATCGGGCTCTCTGCTGGGCAGGGAGCCTGCTTCCTCCTCTCTCTCTGCCTGCCTCTCTGCCTACTTGTGATCTCTGCCTGTCAAATAAATAAATAAATAATCTTAAAAAAAACACAAAAAACAACCTATTGCTAAAAGCAAGGAATATAGAGCATTCTTCAGAGAGAGAGCTTAAGACAACCACAGAAATGTCCTCCTTTTCAGCTCTAGCAGCCTCTCCACTTCCTTTTTGAGGCCAGTCCTCCCACAGCCATGTCTGCCTTTATCCCCCTGGGTACTGGACTGCTCCACGGAGTCTTGGAGTCTCGGCCCAAGTCTGTTTCTCAGGGTCTAAGGTTTACTCAAGATGGCTGCCCCGGACCACACAGTGTTCCCGTGGAAGAACTCCTTGGCCCTGGCTACACATGAGTCTTGACCCAACATTAGCCTGGAAACTTTGCTCAACTGAAATGATAATCTGCTCTCATGCAGAGAGGAACCCAGTCAGAGACAGGGTGCTTCCTCCAGTCTTTACTGGAAATACCATAATCCTTCAGAAAGTCATTTCTTCCTCACATCCCTTCAGCAACCCCATCCCGAGAGTCCCCTGTGCCGGATGCGCACTCAGGAAGAAGCACTCACTCAGGAAGAAGTACTTGTGCTGGTGGTTGTATGGCATGTACTTTCTCTTCTGCTTCCCAAGCTGTGAGGAAAAGCGCAAAGAAATCAGTACCCGCAGACCAGTTACCCCATTCCCCTCCCGCTGTGAGCCTGGCTCTTTCCTACTCAGGAGTTTGGCCTACTCCAGGGTGAGCTTGTGGCTGCTGTTCGACTGCTCCAGCAGGCCGGGCCTTGCCCCAGAGCCCAGTGCAGGGAGGCCCTGGCTGGGATGGGCCAGGTGCACCCACCATGGCCTACAGCTCCGTGGCCGCTGCCCACACGAGGCACGAGCACAGCAGTCTGCAGGTCCTCAGGACACCTCGTGTTCATTGAAAGAGACTTACGTCATAAGGTTTCCAGGCCTCTCTACATCCTCCCGCTTTCCCCATCTAGTACTTCTTTCTTTTTTTTTTTTTTTTTTAAAAGATTTGTTTACTTATTTTAGAGAGTGAGCAGGGAGCGGGGACAGGGAGAGAATCCCAAGCAGACTCCCCACCGAGCACAGAGCCTGACTGGGGGCTTGATCCCAGGACCCTGAGATCATGACCTGACCCAAAATCAAGAGTTGGACACTCGGCCAACTGAGCTGATCATAGACAACCATTTATAACCCTACACAGGCCAGTATTCCTTCTACATCCATCCATCCAGACCCTCTTGTGGTCTCTTGACTACAATGTGAACTTTATAAAATCCCTTGATTGCTAAGCCAAGTTTGGCAAATATTTGTGGAAAGGAACAGAACTTGACAATCTGAAGGTTCCGGCAAGGCTTTTCCCAAAAGGTAGTGATTTCTTGCAAGCCTAGCTACTGTAGAAACGAGCTGGTACAGTCAAGTCAGTCAGCCTGAACGCCTAGCATGGGCGCACAAAATCACGACAGCAAAGCTCTGCTGTCTCACTTGATGGCTCCTTCTGCCCCTCTTGTTCCAGTAAGTTCTGGCAACCGGATGACCCAGAGCACAGGAGGCCCCGTACTCCCGAGTGCAATGCCAGCTCCTCTTTCTTCTGTGCAAGGCCCTTGGGCTAGATGAAGCATTCTCTCTGTATTAAGTGATTGAATGCAACAAGTATGTACTGAGCACCTATTTTGTTCCAGGCCCTATTCTAGTGCTGAAGATACAGAGGTGAACACCACCAATGTTCTTACTCTCATGGAGCTTGTGATTTGAGGAGAGGAAGCTGGTGACCAGCGTGTGAACAGAACTCAAGGTAATTACAGAGTACAAACAGGAAGACAGGACAAAGTGAGGGAGCAGCGTCCTGGCTCCGCTGGTCAGATAGGGTGCCTCTGAGGTGCTGCTATCGGAACTGACACCTGAATGATAAGGGGCCGGCAAAGCAGAAATTCAGGGCAAGACCATTCAATGCAGGAGGAACAGCTAGCACAAAAGCATGGGAGGTTTAAGGGACAAGAGGGGCAGTGTGGCTGCAAACAGTAAGCAACAGGGGAGAAGGGCTGGTAAGGCTGGAAAACGAGGGAAGGCCACTTCCCAGTGGACCTTAGAAAGCCCTGGGAAGACCTTGGTAACGAGCCTGGGTTTTATTCCCGTAGTGATGGGAAGCCACTGGAGGGCTTTCGACAGCTGTAGCATTATTGGCTTTGCACTTCGAAGGGCTCACTCTGCCTGTGGGAGCCGAGAATGAACTGTAGGGGGGAGGTAGAGTTTCAGGGAGAGCAGTGAAGAGGCTGGAACAGGAATCAGGCTCCAAAATGGACAGGGGGGAGATGGGAAGCCGTGGAGCTGGGAGAAGTCAGTGCACTTGGTGTGTTTTGGAGACAGTATTAACAAGGCTTGCTGATAATCTGGATGTTGGGGTGAGGTTCACCCCATCCCCTAAGGGGAAAACTAGAAGAGGAGCCCCTGTCTTGTTTGTGGGGGTGAGTGGGAAGAACACTGGCCTGTTTTGGAACGGTTATGGAAGGGAGTCCTGTCCCCTGCTGCCTCCTTGACAGTCAGTCAGATGCTGTTATGATCCTTATAACTGCCCTGTCGTGTTTCAACTCTCGGACAGAGCCAGAAAGTTTGTGCTTAGGGTGAGGTGTCCCCTGCGTATTCTTGTTCCCCCAGAGACTCGGGAGGCACTCGGGAGGCACTGGATGCCCTGGGGCCAGCCTGGGGATCAGCATCGGGAGGGGCCGAAGCAAAGGCCAGGCAGCCTGCAGCCAAGGCACTTACTAATAGGCAGCTCATCCTCAGGCTCAGAACCAGACAGAAAAATGTCTGTTGATCCTACATCACTTTATATATTTAGTGTCTGCAAATGGGAGTTTCTTGAAAACCTTAGTACCCAGAAGCAATAAAGGCAGTAGTGTGAGAAGGTTCTCTTCCACTTAAATTCCCACTTTTTTTTTTTTTTTTAAACCCTGTAGAGTGACAGTAGAAGTGCTACCAAGAGCTGATGCTCTAACAAATTCCCTACACAGGTGGGCCCAGGGCTGGCTGACCAGCCTTGCACTTGTTGACCATAACACAGTGTCGGACGTGTACAAACCAAGTCCTTGCTTAGAAGGTAGGACCATTAGGACATTATGGACAGGTGGGGCATAAACCTCAAATAGGGGGCTCCTGGTGCCAGGACAGCCAATGCTGTAAAAGCCTTTCCACAGAGTCCTTCTCCTGGCCAGAGGGGGAGGACAGCCAGCCGACCCTGCACTCACTCGTGCCTGGAATGGAGCAGTCCTGAACGGCTGAATTCTAGGCACACCGAAGTCTCATACAGTGGGGGAGCGGAACCTGGTGGGACTCGGACCGCAGCCTAGAGCCTGTGTGCAAAGGCTTTTAAAGTAACTTTACCAACAACTCTGCTGGCCATTCAAAGCCTCCTGTTGCCTTCTGTTCATCGAAAGCTCTCCAGCTCTCTACCCTCAGGCATTCTTCCTTAAGTAGCTGCACTGCAGTTTTTGCTCATAACCCCAGAGGATAACTCAGACCCGACACTGACCGCCCTGCAAGTCGGGCTGGGGTCAGATGGGTGGGAAGAATTACCGAGTGAATGAATGTTCCAGGCACTGGGCGTCAAAGAAGAGTAAGACGGTGGGTCCAGCCCTTGATGGGGAAGACTGCACACAGTAGGATATCAAAGTTGCAAGGGGCAGGGGTAGAGGGGTGGGGGTGACTACCCTGGATAGGAGTGCCTAAAAAGCATCCCCAAGGAGGACCACCCATTCGACTGGCAAGAGGTTTGCACAGTAATCTGATCATCGTTTGGATCCTTTGCAGCGTGAGGTGCCTTTATGCAATAACCGTTGGCTTGTACTCACCAGGGAGGACAGATGACCCTGTCCTGGGCGGCTTATTTACTGCCTGCTGCTTCTCACAAATGCCTGGAAGCCAGCCTGGCCACAGCGTCTCACCCCCACCGACAGCATTGTGAGCATTTCCCCAGAGCCCTCTCTTCTGGCTGGCTGCCATTCTCCCAAGACCTTCCCACTGATATTTCTGCTCACCTCCACAGACAGGATCTTTCCCAGGGCAAAGAAGAAGGGGTGCATGCTGATGTCCGGGTCTTTGCCAAAACAGTTGGGCTTGGCGTGGTGCTGGAAGTGCATGTGGTTCCACCAACTGGCAGGGGCCCCCTACAGGACAGCAGGGACAGGAGTATGAATGCCTAGCATTCCCCCATCCCCCCAAGGTAACCCTTCATTGACTGGAGTTTCAACAGCCCCTCCCTAGCCCATTGACCTTCAGGTGGCCAATCACGAAATGATGTAGCAGGTGGTTCCAGGTAGAGGTGCTGAAGACAGACAGGTGCCCAAAGTCATGCTGTAGCCAGCCGGCCTGGGTCTGAGTGAGAAAGATTAGCGCTGAGAGCAGCCCACTAGCCCAGGCTCCCTCTCAAAGACCTTAGTGGTTCCTCTACCTCATCCCCTTCCTTTGTCCGCCTTAGCCCTGCGATTGCCACAGTACCTCGAGCATGTCGGGAAAGGAGTCAGGAAGCCTGGGTCCTAACTCTAGCTCTGCCACTAACTCATGCTTTCCTGTAACTATATAACTTTCCCTATTCTTCAGTTCCCTAGAAGAGTTCCCATAGAACTCTCTGGAGTTCTAGGACTTATGATGGAGTGAATACCCAGACTACAAAAAAGGACAGAGTGACAAACTCAGAGGCGAGTGGCAGGCTTGGCAAATGGGTTCTGATAATTAGGGCCCAAGTTTTATGAGTGTGTTGGGCAATGTAGTAGTGAGGAAAAAGCCAAGCTTTTTGAAAAATCAGAATTTTGATTCTTGGCACACTTGGGCTACCCTTGGGTGAGCAAAACGAGGGCGCACATGTGGCCAAGGAATGAATAAAAGACACAGATGATAAGACGTCTTTGTGCACTAACTCTCCCCCACATCCTCAGCTGCTCTGGTCACAGAGCTGGGCTCCTTGGCCTTCTGAGGCACACAAGGAGCTTCCTTTCCCCAAGGATGCTGAGCACAGCTGTGCTCTTGACGAGCCAAGAGCTCTCACTTGAACTACGCTGAGCAGCACTGCACAGAGGAGGAAGGGCACCAGGGATGTCCCAAAGACCCAAAGAGTGAGCCAGGCAGCTACATCCAGCAGCACGATGTGCAAGAGGTACAACAGGAAGAAGACATGGTTGGCCTTCATGAGCCCCATCCGCTCCACTGTGGACCGTAGCTCTCGGAACTCATCAATCAGCTCTTTCTGCGGAAGAGTAGAGAGGGAGGGGCTGTTATTCTTTCCAGCTGTAACCCAGCACCGCTGGAGACAAGGGGTCTCTTTGGCTCCAGCACCTCCTACCCCCAGATAGCTATGGCAAGTCCATAATCCTAGGTAAAGCTACCAGGACACTGAGGAAAGAGGACAGGTGCTGTGGGGTCAGGTCTAAGAGCGCGTGGTCTTTGTAGTTAAAGACTTGCTTCAGATCCCTGCTCCTCCATTTACTCACACTGTGATTCTTGGCCGCATGGCTCACCCTCCCTGAGCCCCAGTTTTTCTCATCTGTAAATGTGTGCGGGTTATATGGGGTTACATCAGATACGGAGTTAAGTGTTTGATGGGTCTTGATGAGGGTAGTGGTGGTAGCCTTGGGAGAGCCACGCATTTCAAAGCCCTGCTCCCTTAGACCTATGTCCCAGTGACTGGGAGAAGCAGGTACCTCAAAATTTCACAAGAACTGCTGACTGTGGGGGTGCCTGGGTGGCTCAGGAGATTAAGCGTCCGCCTTCAGCTCAGGTCATGGTTCCTGAGTCCCAGGATCGGGCCCTGCATCAGGCTCCCTGCTCAGTGGGGAATCTCCTCTTTCTGCCTCTCATCCCACTCCTGCTCTCTCTCTCTCAAATAAAATAAATCTTAAAAAAACAAAACAAAACAACACTACAGACTGTGATCAACTGTGACCTTATCTAGGCCTCCCTTTTCCCCGCTACCCTTCAATAACCAAAGTGTCTCCAAACAGCAGAGTCTCACATTTTTAGTGGGCTCAAAGCTGGGCTGCTCTGGAGACAGTTCTCCAATCAGGAGAGAGTTCATATACTTCCTCACAAGGCCTTTGTTGATGTGGAATGCCACAAAGGGATCCTGCAAAGACAGGAGAAGACACAGCGGTTAGGAAGCCGGCCCGGGGCTCCCCGGGATCCTGGAGGGCTCACGCCAGAGGCCATCCTCCTAATTTAGCAAGGAGGCTGTATCCAGGTTCAAAGAGACAGCACTTCCCTCCAGTCAGCTGTCTTTTGAGGGTGCTTAAGATCTTTCCCTGGTGTGCACAGCTCAGGAACACCCAACATGTGTTCTAGTGAAAAGGGCACCACAGCAAGGAATAGGAAGTGTGGGTAGGGGGACCACAGAAAGACCTCTCTGGGCTGTCCCGTCCTCTAGGAGAGTCTATGAACAGCTTTTGCACAAGATTTTAAGATCTAGGTGAGAAATAACTAAAAGGGGTGGGTGGGGCTAGACTTCTGTTTTTACCTATGGGACTTTTAACAGACCTTCTCTGAGCCAGAGTTCTTCATAAGATGTGATTAGGAAGACTCCCTACCTCCTAACTGGGACTTTCTGCATTTCTCCTCTTTCTCTCTGCCGCTGTACCTTGTAGGGTTCCATTATTTCCCCTAAGACTCTGACCACCCCCTGCCCCAGAGTGGCTCATTTTGGTTCTGTGAGGTGGGCTAGGTCAGGCGGCCCCAGGCCTTAGAAACGCGTAGGCTGCACTAGAGACGGGAGCCGGGGCGGAGCCGGCGGCCGGTGGCACCACACATCTGGACCAATCGCTATCCCCGTTGCGGCCGGCCCCAGCCCCGGCCCCAAATCACACGGTGTGAGGACCCCGCGTCGGTGCATCCCTCATTTGCGCATGCGTTAGCCCAAGTCCTCGCTCCACTCGGCAGTCCCGGCTTCCGAGTGGTCGGTCACTCGGGGTGATCACTATAAGCTCTGGCGTTGCCCGCCCCCCGCCCCCGCCCGGCCGCCTCGCAGGGAGGTTTGCGGGCCCTCAGGCCAATACGTCTATGCTCCGTTGCGACATACGGTGACTCTTGTGGGCCCAGGCACCCTCCCGGATTGCAAAGGCAGAGGGTAGGGACAGCGGAAATGGTCATGCCGCTGGGCTGGGGAACGATGTAGGGGGAGGGGACGCGGCGGAGCAAAGTCTCTACAGGGTCCCACGAGGTGATCGCCTGCTCTCCAACCACGGCAGGAGGAGCCAGTTGCCTTACGTCCGAGAGCAGGTGGTCTAGAAAGGGAAGAGCAAGACTGGGTCTGGATGGCGCCCTGACCCCCATAGTGAGGCCAGAAAGGATGCGAACCACAGCCCGGGAGTGCAAACAGCTGTCCGCTGCGGCGAATAGCTGGAGACCCCGCTGGCCTGCGGCCGAGTGACCTTCCACCGTGATTCGGGTTTTCTCTTAAGTGTAAGCTGACGTAGGCTCTCCCACCTTCTGCGCGCCGCTCCCTGACCCACTGTGCACCAGCAGTGGTTAGTCCTCTCCGGGCGGTGAGGCTCCTCCTTCACCCTGTACGGGGCTTCCCACCGCAGCCGGCACCTGGCGGCTTCCCGCCTCGGCCCCGTCCCCGAGAACGCTTCCCTCTCCCGCCTCCCTTCGCAAGCAGGCACGCGCCGCCTAGGCGCCCGCTGCTCTTCCTTCCCACCCACCGAGACAGGTCGAGACTCCCTCTTCCTGCCACTGACCCCTCTCCTCCCTCGGCCTCAGCCGCGCCGCCGTCCCCGGTTCCCTGCATGCTGCCTTTCCTCCCTGCTTGTCCTGCTCTGGGGTCTGCCTACGTCTGGCGACCAAGGACGCGGCCAGAGACCGAACGCACGCGCGCGGGCGGCGCAGTCCTTTGTGTGGGCAGGTTGCCGGCCTCCATCCCCACTGTCCTGATTCTGGCCTGTTTCCACGGCTATTCTCCTGCCCTTGCATCCCGTGCTAAGTCGTGGGCAACGGGTATGCTGGGCGCCTGCTGGCTCTTCCCCGAATGAGTTGTGAGTTCGTCCCTGGGTGCCAAACTTCCTGCCTCGCGCACTGGACCTCCGGCGGCAGCCGCCCGGCCCCGTCCACTCCCGTGTCGCGGTCTGGCAGCGCTCACCGTTGCATCCTGTCCCGCGTAGTGGCTGATGACCCGGGAGCCCCCGGGGTGCCGGCGGGAGAACTCGCTGATGTTGTACACCTTCCGGTCGATCACGAGCCACCGCTCCTTCTCGTGCCCGGAGTGCTGCGCCACCTCGTCCCACGTGAAGTAGCGCTGGGCCGGCGCCTGGGTAGGGGTCTCAGAGTCCATCGGGGCAGGGGCGGTCAGGCGCGCGCTGCAGGCCCGTGCAGTAGCACGCGTCGGCTTCGCGTGCGCGGGGATCCGACCCGCCTGCGCGCGCCGGGTTTTCAGCACCCGCGGCGCGGACCACGGAGCCCTGCTGCGCGCGCTCCCATTGGTCGAGCCGCGTGGCGCGGGGAACGAGCCCCCGCCTTCCCGCCGGGCCTGCTGGGGAGGACGAGGGCGGGCGCGCCCGCTCGCGGGCTCAGTGGGGTTTTCGCCGCGGGGTTCAGTTTCCCGACTCGCGGCTATGGCTCCCGGGGGCCCGGCGGGCTGGATCACAGTCTTTGCGGCGCGTGGGTGGCTGGGTGGGGTGGGGAGGGGCTGTAGAGGTTGCCCCAGAGGACTGGTCCGTAGGCCCCTGGGGCGCCCTTGCTAGTCCATCTGTTAAACCACCAAGGCGCTCCTGGTTGTGGGCCGGGAAACAACAGTGTGAGAACCCTTGGCGGTTATAATTATGGTTAATTGGGTTTGGGGCATGTTAATGCTTTATTTTGCCCAAAATAACGTTGAAAATGCCCCCACAATTTTTGTACCTCTGTTTACCTTTTTTGTTTTAATTTTTGGAATGTTCTGAATTAACTGGGATCCTTAAATAAAAGGATGTCTTCAGCCTCTCCTGACTTCAGGGAGTTTGTGTGTGGAGTACCTGGGTCTTCAAGCGAAGGCATCCCTACTTTGTCCTGGAGGCACCCCAGAGCCATAGGAGGAGCCATGGAACAAGGTCATTTATATTTTTCTTTAATACTTTCTGAAATTTTTATTATGAGCATGTCTTTGCCTTCAGGAAAAAAATGTTTATTGTTTTAAAATGCCACTGTAGGATGATTCTTTGATTAAACCCACCTTCCTAAAATCCCTTTTAAGTAGAGGGATTTAGGGCTCAGACCTCTGGGCTTTAGGAAGGAGTGAGGAAGCAGCCAGAGTTTACTGCTAAATTCTCCATGTTGCAGTATGGAGAGACCCAGAGTTTACTGCTAAATTTTCTCTTATTTATTCAACAAGCACCCTATAAATCACTTACTATGTGCCAGGCACTGTTAGTGTCTTACAAACAAGACTTCATGTAATTCTCAAAACAACCCACTGAGGTAGAAGCTAGTATTAACCTTACAGACACGGGAGACCTCATGTGGTTTGTCACACAGCTAGCAAGTGGCAGGGCAGAAATTCAAACGAGCCTGCACTTTGAATCCCTAGGCTCTGCTGTCTGTCCTCTGAGGACACTAGTATTTGGGTCTCTGATGGGAGTCTGCAGCCAAGAGAAAGGAAGCAGAGCCTTGTCCCATGCACTGAGCTTCCAGGAGTCAGGGAAAAGTATGATTGGATTTCTGGTAGAAAAGGACCTTAATCCATTCAATCCAAATATCTCATTTTATAGATAAGAGAACTGAGTTTCCGGGGAAGGGACTTCCCAAGTGCCTGTGAGGAAACTCAGATGTCCTGGCTTCTGGTTAAAATTCTGGGGCCCTGTACCTTGTTCTAGAATGATAGACAGCTGCCCCTCTGTTCATCAGTTTTCCTTTTTATAAAACAAATCTTGCCCAGCAGCTTGGCAGTTTGTAACCAGAGGTATATAGTGATTTGTACTCTTCGATCAAGTAATTTCGCTCTTGGGAAAGTGAGGAGTGGGAAACTATGAAGGTGTTTATTGCTAATTTAGTAGTAAAGATTGGAAACAGCTACAAATCCCGACAGTAAGAAAACCCTCATGGGGCACCTGGGTGGCTCAGTGGGTTAAGCCTCTGCCTTCCGCTCAGGTCATGATCTCAGGGTCCTGGGATCGATCCCTGAATCTGGCTCTCTGCTCAGCAGGGATCCTGCTCTTTCCCCCCCCCCCCCGCCCTTTCTCTGCCTGCCTCTCTGCCTGCTTGTGATCTCTCTCTCTCTGTCAAATAAATGAATAAAATCTTAAAAAAAAAAAAAAGAAAAAGAAAAGAAAACCCTCAGGCTCACTGGGATATATCGGCACAATGAGGAATTACAGAGCGCCTGGGTGGCTCAGTGGGTTGAGCCTCTGCCTTTGGCTCAGGTCATGATATAGGGGTCTTTGGGTCGAGCCCCACATCGGGCTCTCTGCTTAGAGGGAGCCTGCTTCCCCCACTCTCTCTGCCTGCCTCTCTGCCTACCTGTGATCTCTCTCTCTTTCCCTCTCTGTTGAATAAATAAATAAAATCTTTAAAAAAATGACCATGATGTGAACTATGTTTATAGGTAGAAAGTACTTCGCAGTGAAAAGAGCAGAACCCAGAGTAGTATATACTCACTAATTAAAGTTGTGTAACAATCCAATGGGTATTAAACAACAGAGGAGAAGAATCTGCCAAAGGTGAAAACATTTCATAATTCAACATTCTTTGTTTTTCTGTAAAGTTGCTTAATCTCATTGAAGAAGAAGGAAGACCTGTTATAACCATTATTCCTGTAGTGAAGTCTCATATACTTCTAGTGGGAATGTAAATTGATGAAACTTTCTGGAGAACTAGTTTGGCAACTTTATTTAGAACCTTAAAAATATTTCCAATAATTTCATGTTTCAGGATATAGCCAAAGGGAATTTTTCCCTTATGCTGTGTCTTTTATTCCTATGACTTATTCATTCCATAACTGGAAGCCTGTCTACTCAGTTGCCCTCACCCATTTTATCCCCCATCCCCAGCCTCCTCCCCTCTGGCCATTACCAGTTTGCTCTCTATATTTATAGATCAGATTCTGCTTTAAGGAAATCTTTTGGGGAGAAATATTTATAACCAAAAAATATCCATTGAAGCAGTATTTATGACAGCAAAAAATGGCAACCACCTATATGCCTGTCAGTGGAATATTAAGCAGACATTAAAAGTAATGCGATGAAATTTTACTTACTGAGGAGATAATCATCACTCTAGAAAAAGACTAGTAGGAAATGATAATAGTAACTATTTCTGGATGAGTGGAACAAAGTCATTGATATTTTCTTTAATACTTTATATATTTTTTTATTATGAGCAAGTATTACTTTTGCCTTCAGAAAAAAAAACGTTTATTGTTTTAAAATGCCACTTTTAGGGTGATTCTTTGATGAAACCCACCTTCCTAAAACCATTCATCACGTGTTTCGTTAACATTTGTGGAGTATCTGCTCTTTGTCAGTTATTTGAATAGGCACTGGGAATACAAAGTCCAGTATCATCCGGATCATGCCTAGTTTAAGGCCACTGGAGAAGAAAGACAAATTAGGGATTAGCAGTCAAGAGGATAGATGCAAATTGCTCCTTTTCCTAATTCTCAACATTAAGAAGTTTGTATGATCTAGATTTGCCTTCGTGTTTCTTTCCTTTGCAAGTGTTCTGATGTCAGTGTCCTGTATTTTGGCTACTTCTTTAACTAGATTCTAATCCGGGGCAGGGACTATGAATTCTGTTTCAGGCTACCTGGTATATTCAAAGTACCCTAGTTTGGGGTTCTGTGTGGAATCAATACGTATATTTGTTGAAATAACTGGTTGTCTTAGCCTGAAAAAAAGTAACAGGTTAGCAGGCATATAAACCAGCAGGTGGATACCCTATTGCCCTCTCGTTTCCCTGTCCTCCTACTCCTACATACAAGGCCATGGAGATTGTAAAAAATCCATTCCCAGGCCTGACTCAGGGGCTAACTGGACAAATCCTTTGCCTCCCGGCCTCTGCTGATCCCATTAACTTGCTTTATCCAGGAAATGAATCACATGTGTATTTCCAGATTGGGACTTGGGAGTACTCCTCTAACCATTCAGGCTAACATGACTAAGGAAATAGAAAAATCAGCTGAAGGCCCTAAGGCCAGTTCTCATCAGACCATGTTTCAGTAACATGACTGCGAAAGGCCATTGGAACCGCCTAAGGTGTGTGTTCAGATTTTGCCATGTTTTGTCAAGAGTCACAGATGTCATAGACAATGGACTGAATCCTTCACAAAGTCAACAAGTAGAGGAGAAAGTGTGTCAGCTGTGCTTGGCTGTCGAGCCCCACATCGGGCTCTCTGCTCAGAGGTCAGATCTCTCTCTCTGAGTCAAATAAATAAATCTTTTTTTTTTTAAAGATTTTATTTATTTATTTGACAGACAGAGATCACAAGTAGGCAGAGAGGCAGGCAGAGACAGAGAAAGGGGGAAGCAGGCTCCCCGCTGAGCAGAGAACCCGATGTGGGGCTCAATCCCAGGACCCTGAGATCATGATCTGAGCCGAAGGCAGAGGCTTAACCCACTGAGCCACCCGGGTGCCCCGAGATCACACTTTTATTAGAGGCACAGGGATGTCTAGAAAGAATATTCTTTCAGTTTACCGCATTCTAAGAACATGGGAGTGGGGTTGGGGGGCCAGGGACCCACAGAGGATGAACTCGTGGAATTTTCTAAATGGATCTTGTGACTGTCTAGAGTATAAGCACCTGACAGATAGATACATTAAACCCACTCTTTAATAGGTAAGGCTACTGAGATCCAAAGAGCTGCAGTCACACATAGAAAAATAGATCTGGATCTGGAATGTAGCCCTAGACCTAATTATAACTTTAGTTCCTAAATGGTAGGTTCAATGAATGTGTTTGATATAAGGCCATCCCGGTTCAGAAAAGACGTGGCGGGGTCAGCGGGGTTGTCCTTCCTTGTCTGGAGTGCCTTCTTCCTCATAGGCCCTCTGGCTTGCCTTTGTGAAATGGGAGAAGGCAGGTCTAAAAGGTAGGTCCCAGAGCTTCAGATTCCCCCCAAGGAATTGGTCTACACTGCCCCTGGGCATCCAGGTCAGCTTTTTGCTAGTCTTTTAATGCCATGCTTTACAGTACAAAGGATCTCTATTTTGGGGTGTCTGGGTGGCTCAGTCGGTGAAGCATTTGGCTTCAGCTCAGGTCATGGTTCCAGGTTCCTGGGATCGAGCCCCGCATCGGGCTCCTGCTCAGCAGGGAGCCTGCTTCTCCCTCTCCCTCTGCTGCTTCTGTTGCTGTCTCTCTCTCTCTCTGTCAAATAAATAAAATCTTAAAAAACAAAATAAAATAAAATCAAAGAGAAAGACTAAGCTTAGAGTCATGATGACAAGATTGTTTGCGTCAGTGTAGCAAGCCATCATATGCATACA